CTTTATTGTCGGAGCAGATGTGGAGGATGTCTCGTGCGAGGCGCTGGTGTTCGCACCCCAGGAGGCCCAGATTGCCAGGATGTCTTGAGCGGTTTGCTTCTTTTGGTGACCAGACTCGTCGAGTGCAGGCGCTGGCATTCGCACCCCAGGGGGCTTGGATTGCCACGATGTCTCGAGCGGTTTGTCTGTTTAGGCTGCCAGAATCGTGGGCGGATCCTCCCCAGGAGGCCCGCCCAAGGAGGCTCCCGGAGGCCCCAGGAAGCCACAGGAGGCCCCACGAGGCTTCACGAGGCAACAGGAAGCCCCAAGAGGCTCCAGGATGATCCAAAGGGCTCCAGGAGCCCCCAGGAAGCTTCATGAGTTTCGAGGAAGCCCCAGGATGCTCCAGGAAGCCACGGGAAGCTCCAGAGTGCCACAAGAGGCTCCTCTCCGAGAAGCTCCAGAAAGCCCCAGGAAGTTCCAGGAGGCCCCAGGAGGTCCCAGGAGGCCTCAGGACGCCACAGGAAGCGCCAGGAGGCCCCAGAAGGCCCCGGGCAGCCTCAGGAGGCCCCAAGAAGCCCCAGGAGGCCCCAGCAGCGGCTCCAATTTGATGTGCTTTATGTATTTTCCTATAGATCAGGCCTCTCCTGGGGCACGAGTCCTTTGTGTTTTACATGTGTTCCTATAGATTGTCCTTCTCCTGTGTCTTCAATCCGATGTGTTTTGTACGCCCGCTCAGATAGAGTGGGCGTCCTGTGGGGCTCGAATCCTTGGTGTTCTACGTATGTTCTTATAGATTGTCCTCCTGTGGTTCCAATCCGAAGTGTTTTACATATGTATTCCTATAGATTGGGCCCTCTCCTGGGGCACGAATCCTCCCCAGGAGAATCCAGGAAGGCCCAGGAGGCCCCAGAAGGTCCCAGGAAATTTCAGGAAGCCACAAGAAGCCCCAAGAGTCCCGAGGAAGCCCCAGGAAACGCCAGGAAGGACCCAGGAGGTCTCAGGAGGCTCAGTCCCCAGGAAGCGTCAGGAAGGCCCAAGGAAGCCCCAAGAGGCCCCTGGAAGCCCCAGGAGGCTCAAGGAGGAGCAGCCCCCAAGAGGCCCAAGGAGGCCCCAGGAGGCCCCAGGAGGTCCAAGAGGCTCAAAGAAACCCCAGGAAGCCCCAGGAAGCCCCAAGAGGCCCCAGGAGCCCCAGGAGATTTGAGGAAGTCCCAGGAAGCCCCAAGAGACCCCAGGAGAATTCAGTCATGATCAGGCCACTGACGTGCCGACACTCTCACCCTAAGCTTAGCCATGCGCAGGCTCACGCGCATAGGCTCACTCGTACTACTGGGGCTCATACACACTCAAAGTCATTCACGATGAGACTCTCTCCCAGGCTGCCAATATCCAAGTTCATCTCTATTCAAAGTTTCTTGCGCCTGGACATTCACGGCGGAAATGCCAGTGCAAAGAGATGCACATGGGGGCAGCTCCACGCAGTGAATAATTATTCATTGTTTTGCCGATCGGCGCGGGCCCTTGCACCCCCCTCTCCCCCCTGCCTCCTGGAGTAGATCTTGGCTGTTTGGGGCGCCCGTTTCGAGCAGGTGGAGTCCCCCCCCCAAAAGGACGCATTGCTGCAAACAGTCGCACTAAGCAGAGGTCCAGAGCCAGACACCCCTATCCCCCCTTTCCTCCCAGTGTCGAAACGCCGAATAAAAAAAAAAACGCTCACCAGCGTCGGATCCCGTTTCCATGGGAAACCGTGGACTTCTGGCGCCGAGCGAGGCGGCACCGGCCGCATTCTGGGGAGGGCGCCTCCGCGGATCCATGGACTGGGCGACCGCGCGCCAAGCCCATGGATCGCCAATCCATGCTTGCGCGCCCCCGATCCTCTCCAGCCCAGCCCGACTGCAGCCACGGGCTCCGACCCCAGACATCCGGCTGCTCCCATTTTTTCGGTGCGTGGACCCAGGAGGTCTGGGCCACTTCCCCGGGACTGTTTTTTTTACGACGACCTGGGAGCGAAGAAAGCCTCTGAACGCTCCAGGTAGGCTGCGATGGACTAGACCACGCTGGGCGTCCCCGCCACCCCGACCGACACAGAAGCCTCGGCCGACATGTCGGGAACGCCTAAAAAAGAGTATACAGTAGCGCTCGCCGCTGCAGCGGCCCTCCCGCCTCGTCGAGGGCGTGCTGCCTCCGCGCCTTCTGCGGCTGTGCGCTGCAACGGTGCTGCTCGCCATAGCGGGCAGTCAAAGCTCAGGAGGGAAAACAAAAACACAGACACAATTAATCGTCGACCCCCAGGAAAATATGCGAAAATATGGGAAGTGTGGGGGAAGACGAAAAGCAAAAATACATAGAATGATATAAGGAATCCTGGTTTGGGTGTGAATTTATTTGTGTGCCCCAGGGCCCCTTTAAAAGCGGAACAGCGGAGATGGGGATTGGTTCTTCGTCCTGAGCCGTTTTCTGACGCTCCCGAGGCCCAGCGAGGGCCCCCTGGAGGCCGAAGATTGCCAGAAGCCGCCCGCTCCAACTCTGTTTTGGGAGCGTCGGCTCGCAGGGAGTCTGCGCGCCCCCGATCCCCTGCAGCCCAGCCCGACTGCAGCCACATGGGGGCTTCGCGACCGCCCGCGTCCTCGTCGGGGGGCTCCCCCCCCCGGCGGGCGCTCGCGGCAGGGCTTGACCTCAATGGTGCTCTGGCGATGCCGCGTGCCGGTTTCGTGTCGGTCTCGCTTTTGGCGGGAGGGGCGGGGGGAAGACACCGCGACTTGGCGCTGATTCGACCGAGTGCGCCTCCAGTGCGCTTCGTCACTGCGCGGGATCATCAGCGATGGACGACTCCAGGGGGCCCTCGACGGCCCACTACGGCCCTGCTGCTCCTCCTTACCCTCCTCCACCTTGCGAAGTCGCCGTGCTGGGCCGGGGTGCGCCAGAATGGTCGGGGAACGCCAGAATTTTCGTTCTCCTTCGCCGAGGGAGGGGGGCGGACTGAAGACGCACCCTTGGCATCGCTCGGACGTGTGCATTTTTTCTCGGCGACGGCCATCGAGGACCGTCCTTGACCATTTGGCGAGAAAAAAACACGCACGACATCGAAAACTACCCGAGGAATGGACGTCCGAGCGATGGCGAGCAGCGAGGGAGGACGAGACCGACACGAAAACGAAGCGAAAACGAGAAACCGATGACGCCAGAATTTTCGTTCTCCCTCGCCGAGGAGGACGCCGACACGAAAACGAAACCGAAAAGCACCGCTGAGGTTCGGCCCTATGGCGCGCCGTGCCCGCCCTCCCCGGGGGCGGGGGGGGGGCGCCCGCCGACCCCGGGCAGCCACGGCGAGGCCTCCGCCCCTCGCCGGGGCCGCCCCTCGCCGAGGCCTCCCGGGGGCGCCGCGCGGGGGCCCTCCGCGGGGGCCTCCTCGGGAGGTCGCTCGAGGGCCTCCCCCTGTAGGGGAACAAAAAGCGACACAAGCAGAACAACTCGGAGGTCCGCGCGGATTTCTCGGATCGGCGCGGGATCCCCCTCCCTGGCGCGCGGCGCGCGCCAGGGGCGGCGCCGGAGGCGCCGCCGGGGTGCCCCAGCGCCGATGCGAGAAATCCGCGCGGACCTCCGAGTTTTTATGTTTATGTCGCTTCTTGTTCCCCTATCTCCGGGGGCAGCACCTTCGAGCACGCTCGGGGCCTCCGGGGGTCTCCTGGGCGCCTCTCGGGGCCGCCTGGGGGTACCCTCGGGGGGCCCTTGGGGGCCATCTCGGGGACATCCTTGGGGAGATCGATCGAAGGAGGGGGGCTCCTTAATCAGTGCACCCCCCCCCAAGAGGGCCAAAATGTGACCAAAACCTTACTCAAATCAAGGAGTTTGGCCCTCTCGCCGAGGCCTCTTGGGCGTTTTGGGTGCCTGGGGGAGGGCCTCGGGCCTCTTGGGGATCTCTTGTGGGCCTTTTGGGGGCATCTTGGGAGCCTCTTGGGGCCATTTTGGAGGAGATCAATCGAAGGAGGAGGGCTCCTTAATAAGCCCCACCTCCCCAGAGGCCCCAAATGTGACCCAAACCTTTGTAAGATTAATAATGCTGGCTTCTCGCCGAGGTCATCGTGAATGCTCCAACTTGGCGCAAAACACCCCGTCCAGGTCCAGGGGAAGGGGGTAGTGGGAGGGGTAAACCCCTCCCCGAAAGGAAAAAAGGGGGTTAAAGCTCACGCCCTAAAGGGCTGGTGGGATTAAACGTTTTCCCACGGGATTTGGACCGCTCTTGCTTCTTGGGGCCCTCTCGGGGGTCGTCTTGGAGCCCTCTTGGGGCGTCTTTGAGGCCTCTTGGGCAGCCTGAGGCTATCCTGGTCTTCTTTCAGGACTCCCGTGCGTGCTGGAATCCGGCTTGGGCAAGCGTAAATCGATTCTTAGGCATCTCGGAGGCCGAAGAGAATAGGAATGGAGGCTCTTGACACGGGAGCGCTGATGAGCTCGGAGAGCCCCCCCCCCTGGCCCTTTCTCTCTTCAATCGGATTTCAGACCCAGGGGGGGAAGGAGGAGGGGGACAGCCAATCATCATCTCACACGCCTTTGCATCCCTGGCAAGCGAGAGCCGGCGGATGTTGACAACATCAACATGGAATTGGTCGTCTGGCCGAGCGCGTTCTCATCGTATCGTATTTCATTTGGTGTGCAGAATATCCTATAGTGTTCTGTCGCGTGTCACGTTTCTTGCTGTGTAAGGTCCAGTCGGACTCCATGAGTATTTCGGCAGAGGCAATTTCAAGATGGCAGGCTGGATTGCAATCTCCCGAGCCGGCTTCCGTCTGTTCAAAGTTGTGCGTGTCGTGTTGTACGTGCGTTTGGTGTCACAAGAGGGATGGGTTAGAGGTATCATTCCAAGAGTATGGAAACAATTCCACTGTTTTAGCGGAAGGTTTGGAGTTGAAAGGAGCACGTTGTGAAAGCAACGCGAGGGATCATGTGTTCTATTATATGGTCTTGACATGGGTTGCGTTGTACAGGACGAAGGAGGCAGGCAGGGAGAAATGGATGAAGGACGGCGGGATGAGTGGAAAAGGAAGTCATTGGTTCAACCAATCGCGTTGCGCAGCTTGCGGCTAATCGAATCAGCAGTCATGCAAAACAATTCTACATCAGCAATCGACAAGTTCCCAAAGGGGATTGCACGTTGTTGGTTGAAAGTGCGTATGACTGGAATCCCAAATCCTAGCATATGTCAATCGCCTTCCTGCTTCAATGATCGGATTGCCATCCTTTGTCGTTCCGAGTCAGGAGGCCGGGCCACGACCCAAAAAATGTTGAACGTGTTCCTAGTTGATGCTTGTACCCACTTCAACGGAACGACAGGTCAACCGAGGTCTTGCAGTAGTGCATGCGGCAGTATGCAGGGATGCAGGGGGGAAGAATGGATACGTACTTCGTTGACCCGCCATTCCCAAGAGGGTGCGTGAGAGCCAGCCAGTCATGGTCAAAGCGGTCGGTGTTCAGTCGCGCACGGAGGGTTGAGTGATAATAAGACCAACGTTGCCCATGTTTGTATGGAGGAGGAGGAATCTGACAGTGAAACACGCAACCATCCGTCCATTGGAGGCCAGCCCAAGCCTCAGCAGTTCGAGCACGTTGGTATGATGGCCGGCGGCACAGGGCTGACACCAATGATGCAGGCTTCATCTGGTGTGCTGTGTTGTTCGCTCTACCTCTGTGACGTCGCGCTTGCATGTAGCATGCGTTGCCTTGGCTCTTCTTGATAACGCCCTGGGCGCTTTCTTTTTGCCGGTTTGTACTTGGGGCTCTTGACCAGTTGAAGACGCTTTAACAAAAAAGGCTGCGTTGAGCGCAGAGTGAAGAACGCCAAAACAATGGCCTGGTACCGGTCTAACACTGGCGCGGAACAGGCTTGTCGTAGACGGCAATGTTAAACAGCACAGTCAATTGATCTGAACTAAAACAACGGAGCTCAAAACAGTCAACCAATGCGTCGTGTGTCCTTGTTGGGACCGAACTACGCTTAAAAATGACTTTCAACACGCCGATTGGAAACGGTAAACAACGCCCAGGGCATATAAGGAGAACCAATTGCATACATGTACATATTGCTGGGCGAAAGCACCAGGCGATTGATTCTGGAGGTATCGTTAGGCTTGCCTACGCGGTGTGGCAGAATCTCTGAGTCAGAGATTTCCCTCCCTCCGAGCTGGCCGAATGGTGTGGCATGTCTCCAAGGGTGCCTATGGCTCCACTGGTTTCAATTGCCCATGCAGCAGTGGCAGCAAGACGACACTTCGCCACCATCTGCCGAATACCAGGGGGGCTGATATGATTTTGGGGGGATTGCAGAGTTTGCGGAGAGGCTGATCGACGCTCAGTTCTTGCATTCGTGATGTTTGTGGGCGCATGTGGTTGAAGAGGTGGAAGCGGAGAAGGAGCTGGGTGAGGAGGGCTCCAGTCGCAACGTGCACCTTGTGGCAGGCCAAGCAGTAAAAATGGCGTTGCTCCAGGTGGTTCAGAAGGCGCTGAGAGACAGCGGCGACACCTGTGCCTCCGCTCGGACTTTGCTGAGCATTGTTACAGCCACGAGTCAGAGCAGTACGAGCGTGACGGGAATGTGAAGTTGGTGCGCAGTTGAATAGAGGGGTGAGGGAAGGGAGAGGGGAGGGAGAGGCGGGCAGAGAAAGAGAGACAGAGCGAGTGTTCTCGTTCTCACGTCCGCCTCATCAGATCCCTCCTCCTGCTCCTCCTCCTCCTCCTCCTCCTTGTCCTCTCTGGCACACTGCGGCCGCCGTACAGAGCAGCGCTTTGAATGTATGATAGTGCTGTGGCTGGGCTCGTTGGCAGCGTGCTTCAGCAAGCGATCTCTGATGCGACAGTTTGCCATTACCGTGCGTTGTCTCTTGCTGGCGTCGCGGCACTATCCACAGTCAAGGTTCACAGTAAGAATGAAGTGTCTTTACAAGGGTTGCCTTGTATCTTTACCTCGGCCGCTCATCCCTGGCACAATTTCCATACTTCGCGTGCCCCCACCAGCCCATTCAGAAACCTTGCCGCCCATGAGAGTTGATGGGGAAAGTGACGAAGAGGCACATGTAGTTAAATAAAGCGGGCAACCAGGGTGACCAGGGAGATCTCTGCTAGCAATGGGGTGGCCTTGGAGGGCCTCTTCGGGCCATCCCTGGGGCCCGCGCGGTGGGGGCGAGGGAAGGATGATGAGAGGAGGAGGACGACGACGACAACAACGACGTCGACAACGACCTCGACGACCTCGACGACGAGGAAGAGGAGGAAAAGTTAAAACGAACACGATGGGGGCAAGGACGAGGACGAATACGAGGAAGATGAGGAGGACAACGAGGACGAGGACAGCCCTCAAAATCGCCTCTTGGGACTCTTTTGGGGTGATTGTGGGGTCCTTTGGGGGCTCTTCGTTCAGGGGCTCTTGGGAGACCTCGAGGGCCTCTTGGGGCCATCTTGGATGCCGTCGATCACAAGGGGGGGGTCCTCGATTTACGTCCCCTCCCTTCCGAAGCATTCGAAACCGCTTTATGGGACGCTCGTGGGCCACTCTTGGGCGCTCTTGAGGCCGTCAAGTGGGCCTCTTAAGGCCCCTCTTGAGCCTCTCTTAGGCCATCTCGAGGCCTCAAAAGTGCATCGGCGGCGAATCGGCGAGAATTTTGTTGATTCCCCTTAGGTGTTTGAAGGATGTTGGCCTCTTGAGGGAGTCCTGCTGGGGGGCTCTAAGAGCAGTTGGAGCTGTCTTGTGGCCATCGTTAGGATTCTTGGAGGTATGTCAGAAGCTATCTTGAACCATCGTCGGCTATATTGGGCCATCTTGGAGCTTCGGAGCGGAGGCCCTCTTGGAGCCATCTTGGGCGAAAAAGGACCTGCCGCCTCGCGCCCCTCCCACCAATAAAAAGAAAATGTAGGGAGTGGAGGGGGGGGTATCCCTGCCCGAGGAGAAGAGGGCTTTGGAAGAGGGAAAGCAAGACCTCGCTGGACCACCTTAGCCTGGCCCAAAGGGCTGGTAGCATTTGGGCTGCTGCCCTCAGCCCATTTTGGCGTCCGAGGGTCTTGCATCCATGTGCTGCAGCCTTACTCCAACAAAAGTGTTGGCTGTAGTTGTGCCAGGTGGCCTTGCCGTGCATCGATCACCACCCACCAAACCACCCCAACCCAACCCGAAGGCCCAAATTTATCCTCGATTTCCAGTGGGGGGGGGTCGGGGAACGTTGAAAAAACACGTGTGGAACCCTTACCCCCCCCAACCCGAAATTCGGGTCTTCGGGTTGGGTTGGGGTGGTCTGGTAGGTAGTCAATCGAAGACTTGGGGAGCAGCGGGAGCAACAGCGGTCGGGGCGGCAGCGGCAGCAGCAGCCAGGCAAGGAGGTATGGGGGGCGGAGGGAGTGCGAGGGGGAGGAGGAGGAGGAGGAGGAGGAGGAGGAGGAGGAGGAGGCGGAGGCGGAGGCGGAGGCGGAGGCGGAGGCGGAGGAGGAGGAGGAGGCGGAGATGACGGCAGGTAAGTTTACGCTGCTGTACGCGAACAAGACAGAGAGCGACATCCTGTGCCGCGACATGTTGGACGAGTTGGAGAGGCAGAGTCAAGGACGGCTTCGGCCTTGCACGCGCTGTGGCAATCACCATCTTCTCACCGTTCTTCGTAATCATTGAAATAGTATTATCACTACCATCCTTTATCCGCATCATTATACCTCTTGTTTGTTATCATACTCCTCAATACTGTTCTTCATCGTCTTCATTAGCATCATCATCAGCATCATCAGCATCATCATCATAATCATCATCATCGTCATGCCGCTCCCCCAAGGCTGCCGCTGCATCTGGCGACGGGGCCAAAGCGACGCGCTACGGCGAGCAGGTTCACAGCATCGGCGCTCGCGGAGCTCGCGGCCGCTTCGCAGGCGCACGGCGGCCTGCAACGCGACGGCCGCCGCGGCACCACGGCGCGGCGACTTGCGGAGCGGCTCTGCACAATGGAGGTGCTGCGGGCAGCGGGCGCCAGAGTCGCCGCCCTCGGCTGCTAGCCCGTCGCCGCCCTCGGCTGCTAGCCCGTCGCCGGCGCGACGGGCAGATTATATTTTGATTTCAGCCACGCGGAAGTGTCCGGGTCATTGTCATCATCGTTTCGCCGATCGTCACCATCATCATCAATCATCGTCATCATCACGTTATGCGCCTGTGTCGTCTTGCTATTCGTTTTGAGCGGCCATGCCGCTTCTTTCTCAGCTGGGTTTCTACATCGGTTCTGGTGCCCTGTTTTGGCGCGACGGCCATCTGGCTGGTGCCACACTGCGCGCTGGGTAGGAAGACCAGCGGAGACGCGCAGCCGAGCCAGGGGCGCAGCCAGCGCCGCAGCGAGCGCGCTCTCGCTACGAACCGAAAGCTTTCCGATCGACAGGAAAAGACGCCCTCGGGGTGTTTTTGGGACTGTTGCGCCGTCCTGTGGGCCTCTTGGGCAGGCTCGGGGCCACATGAGGCCGTCTTGAAGCTGTCTTGCACCGCTCTGGGGCTCCTTCGGTTGGCCACAGGAGGCGGTTCGTGAGACGAACGGGGGGGGGGGAGGAAATCCCCACCCGCCGCATGGGACCAGGGGGGGAAGGGAGGGGAGAGACCCTTTGCTCCGCCCCCTTGATTCGAACTGGGGAGGATGGGGGGGGGGAATTCCCCCCCCCCTCCGGAATTCGAACCTGAAGAGGGGGCGGGTGGATGAGCGAATTGTCCGTGTTATGCCGGGCAGCCTCGCCCATTTCGTTGACGAACAAGTTCAATCACAGTTCAACCAAAGGTTATTCCGACACAAAGAAGAGCTCAAACAACATTCCAACATAACTCAAACCAAGTTCCAACAAAGTTCGAACAAAGCCCACAAGCTTCAGCAATGCTCCAACAAAGCTCAAGCAACGTTCAAACAAACGCCCAGCAACACTTCAACAAATCTCTGACAAAGCTCTCATGCAGCTCACACGAAGCTCGAGCGAAGCTCAAACAACACAGCTACAGCGAAGCTCAACCAAAGCTCACACAAAACTCAAACAAAGTTCAAACACATGTCAATGAACCCGGCGCGACCCTTTAGGTGAGAGCCCGCTGCATTGGCGCATCGTTGGGCGCATCGCTTGGCATTGCTTGGCATTGCGTTGCATGAGTGGGCATTACTTGGCATTGCTTGAGGCAATTAGGGGCGGTGAACCCGAGGAACCCGGGGGGAACCCTAGGAACCCGAGGAACTTCATAAACCGCAGAGGAGCGGGCAACGGGGCGGTGAATCCGAAGAACCTGGGGGAGCCCGAGGAACCAGGGGGACCTCCGAGGAACCGGGCAGCGTAACAGCACGAGGCACCGGGGGCAGGGAACCCGAAGAACCCGGGTAACCCGAGGAATCTCCGAGGAACGGGCCTGAGGAACCCAGGGGGCCCGAGGAACCTTGGCAACTTCCGAGGATCGGGCAACGTAACATTTAGCAGGCACCAGCTTCCAGCAAGTAAGAGCCCTTCAGGCAAGCCTGAAAGCGCAAACACAGCTCAATCAACACTCGCACAAAGCTCCAAAGCTCCAACAAAGCCCAAACACCCAACCAACATTCAAACTAATCTCCAACAGCGCTCAACCAAAGCTCTGACAAAGCTCCAACACAGCTCACACAAAGCTCTGACAAAGCGATCACAAAGCTCAAACGCAGTCGACACGAAACTCAAGCACAGCTCCCGCGAAGCTCACACCAAGCTCAAACAGAACAAGTGAGGGTAAATCTCGCCACAAGCTCGAGCAATCTCCAACAAAGCTCAATAAAGTTTCAACCATGCTCAAGCAAGTCTCCAACAATGCCGACACAAGGCCCGAAGAAAGCTCAATTAAAGCGCAAACGCAGTTCAAACAAAGTTCAATATCCGTCCGAATTAAAGGCGGGGAGGGGATCGTCTTCCCCCACGCGGGTTCAAATCGGGGGGGGGGAAGTCTGCACCCCGCCCCTTCAGTTCGAACCGAAGGAGGGAGGGTCTGTGCCTCTTTTCCCGTTTCTGGCCAGCGGAGGGTCCGCCCTCCCCCCCTCCTCTTCCTCCTCCTCCTCCTCCTTCTCCCCTTCCTCTCTGCTTCATTGTCCACGTCTTCCTCTGCCTCCTTCTGTTTTTGCCCAAAGCCCCGTACTCCGATAGGCACATGTGCTCCTCTGTCTTCCGAAGCAAAGGCGAGCCAAAAAATTGGGATTGACTGGTCCAAGACGTGGCTTAACACGAGCATCACACGATCTTCAGGGTTCCAAGGAAAAAAAAGTGGAAAGACACAGGAGCGAGGAGGTATGAGGGAGGAGGGAGGAGTCGAGAGTGAGGAGCAGATATGGAGGAGGCGGGAAGAAGTGGAGGAAAGTGAGGAGGGAGGATCAAGAGGTAGAATGACCGATCGCCTGGCCATGCGGCTGAGAGCTTTCTCTGCAGATATGGAAAACGAATTGCGCCCATCCTCACCCAACCCCGCTCACATCCACTCCCGTCCAATCCCTCACACGCCTCACGTTTTTCTCCTTAGTGTTCTTCCTCGTCCTCGGCATCCCTCCTATTCCTCATTCATCGTCCTCCTCATGTTGGAGTGCCGGCGTTGCGCAGGTCCATAGTCACATGTATGGTCAGGTATTGCAGCGATCACGTATAGATGCGACGTTTGTGAGGATTGGTTGTCTGCGCGTTCTTTGTAGGCCATAGTTTGATGCTGCTGAGCAGAGCGCCGTGGTGGCTGAGGACGGTTCAAGGTCCACTACACGTTGGATTTCCCTCCAGCTGGATGGACAGGCAAGACGGGATTCATCACCCAAGATATGATCAAGGATTGGCAGTTTGATGTCTGCGATTCTTCCAGATCATGCGTGCACATCGGCGCTGGTACCATGTTTGTTCGACGGGGATGCGTTGCCAGGCGTGGCAATCGGAGGATGAGGAGGAGCGTTTCAGAGGCAGGACTGGGACTGTGACTCACCCTGGCGGCGGTGGAATGGTAGTGCTCCAGGGACGGTTCGGCATGTCCTGTGAATCCAGCGCTCGAAGATGGCTGCTTCAACCACGCGCGCACACACACACACACACGGGTAGGACAGTATCGTTTAACCGACCCCAATCCCCATTCCCATCCCTTTCGAGACCCCCACCAGATTACCCCCCCAGTTGGGGATACAGACCTCGAAACCCGACTGGAACGACCCGTATCCCCATCTGGGGGGGTACATCGGCCAGTGGGGCCCAGGCCACGCCGCTGGGGATGGGGATCGGTTAAACGATACTCAGTACAGTGCCGTTTTTCATACATGCTCCGCGTGCGGATCATGTATTAAACATGCAGGGATCTAGCATTAAAAACAAGGATGAGTGCATGCATACATGTATTCATACAGTACCCATGTATTAAAGTATAGCCGGAGTGCAGTATCCCCAAACAGGGTTTTTAGACCCACTGCGGTTTCCAAGGTCGATTGCGTGCCCGTTCAGTGCGGGCTGGCATGGCATGTTAAAACATGCCTCCTCCTCCTCCTCCTCCTCCTCCTCCTCCTCCTCCTCCACCTCCTCTTCTTCCCGAACGGCATCTCGGAGCCCACAGTTGCGAGGATGTCTCCAGCGTGACGGGCTGGACCACCTCGCGCGCAGCATTTCGGACCCCAGAGTTGCGACGATGTCTCGGGCGAAACGTGCTGCGAGGAAGTCTCAGGCGAAACGGGCGGGACCACCTCGAGCGCGGCGTCTCGGAGCTCCGAGTTGCGGGGGCCTCTTGGGGCCTCCTGGGGCCTCCTGGTGACCTCCTGGGGCTTCCTCCTCGGACTCCTGTGGCCTCCTGGACCCCACCTGAGGCTTCCTGAGCCTCTTGGGGCTCCCAGGGGGGGATATCTAACATGTGGCCGTCGGGACCCTCCAAAAGGGGAGGGGGCCACAAGAGCAGGACAAAAATTAACGGATCGACACCGGGTTTGTATTAACTTGACACGTTCTGATGGGGGCCTCCTGGGGCCTCCTGGGAGCCTCCTGGGAATCTCCTGCGGACCCCTGGGGCCTGTCCTGGGCGTCCTGCGGCCTCCTGGAGCTCTCTGGGGCCTCCTGGGGCTCCCAGGGTCCCAGGGGGATATGTATCAAGTGGTCTTCTGGGCCCCCAGGCTGGACCACCTCTTGCGCGGCATCTGGGAGCTCAGAGTTGCGAGAATGTCTTATGCGAAACGGGCCGGACCACCTTGCGCACGGCATTTCAGAGTTCAGAGTTGCGAGGATGTCTCAGGCGAGACGGGCCGGACCACCGCACGCAGGGCATCTCGGAGCCCACAGTTGCGAGGATGTCTCCAGCGTGACCGGCTGGACCACCTCGCGCGCAGCATTTCGGACCCCAGAGTTGCGACGATGTCTCGGGCGAAACGTGCTGCGAGGAAGTCTCAGGCGAAACGGGCGGGACCACCTCGAGCGCAGCGTCTCAGAGTTCCGAGTTGCGGGGGCCTCCTGGGGCCTCCTGGGACCTCCTGGTGACCTCCTGGGGCTTCCTCCTGGGCCTCCTGTGGCCTCTTGGACTCCACCAGGGGCTTCCTGAAGCCTCTAGGGGCTCCCAGTGGGGGATATCTAACATGTGGTCGTCGGGCCCCCCCATGGAGGGTGGGTGGGGCCACAAGAGCAAGAAAAAATCAACGAATCGACACCGGATTTATATTAACTTGACACGTTCTGATAAGGGGGCCTCCTGGGAGCCTCCTGGGAATCTCCTGCGGACCCCTGGGGCCTGTCCTGGGCGTCCTGCGGCCTCCTGAAGCTCTCTGGGGCCTCCTGGCGCTCCCAGGGTCCCAGGGGGATATGTATCAAGTGGTATTCTGGGCCCCCAGGCTGGACCACCTCTTGCGCAGCTTCTGAGAGCTCAGAGTTGCGAGGATGTCTCGTGCGAAACAGGCCAGACCACCTTGCGCACGGCATCTCAGAGCTCAGAGTTGCGAGGATGTCTCAGGCGAGATGGGCCGGACCACCTCGCGCAGGGCATCTCAGAGCCCAGAGTCGCGAGGATGTCTCAGGCGAAACGGGCTGGACCACCTCGCGCGGCATCTCGGACCCCAGAGTTGCGACGATGTCTCGGGCGAAACGTGCTGCGAGGAAGTCTCAGGCGAAACGGGCGGGACCACCTCGAGCGCGGCGTCTCAGAGCTCCGAGTTGCGTGGGCCTCCTGGGGCCTCCTGGGGCCTCCTGGTGACCTCCTGGGGCTTCCTCCTGGGCCTCCTGTGGCCTCCTGGACCCCACCTGGGGCTTCCTGAAGCCTCTTGGGGCTCCCAGGGGGGGATGTATAACATGTGGCCGTCGGGGCCCCCCAAAATGGAGGGGGGGGGGCACAAGAGCAGGACAAAAATCAACGAATCGACACCGGATTTGATTAACTTGACACGTTCTGATAGGGGACCTTCTGGGGCCTCCTGGGAGCCTCCTGGGAATCTCCTGCGGACCCCTGGGGCCTGTCCTGGGGCGTCCTGCGGCCTCCTGGAGCTCTCTGGGGCCTCCTGGGGCTCCCAGGGTCCCAGGGAGGATATGTAACATGTGGTCTTCTGGGCCCCCAGGCTGGACCACCTCTTGCGCGGCATCTGGGAGCTCAGAGTTGCGAGAATGTCTTGTGCGAAATGGGCCGAACCACCTTGCGCACGGCATTTCAGAGCTCAGAGTTGCAAGGATGTCAGGCGAGACGGGCCGGTGTCTCGGGCGAAACGTGCTGCGAGGAAGTCTCACGCGAAACGAGCCGGACCACCTCGAGCGCGGCGTCTCAGAGCTCCGAGTTGCGGGGGCCTGGTGCCTCCTGGGGCCTCCTGGGGACCTCCTGGGGCTTCCTCCTGGGCCTCCTGTGGCCTCCTGAACTCCACCTGGGGTTTCCGCAAGCCTCTTGGGGCTCCCAGGGGGGATATCTAACCTGTGGCCGCTTGGGCCTCTCAAAATGGAGGGGGGGGGGGCACAAGAGCAGGACAAAAATTAACGGATCGACACCGGATTTGTATTGACTTGACACGTTCTGATAGGGGGCCTCCTGTGGCCTCCTGGGAGCCTCCTGGGAATCTCCTGGGGACCCCTGGGGCCTGTCCTGGGCGTCCTGCGGCCTCCTGGAGCTCTCTGGGGCCTCCTGGGGCTCCCAGGGTCACAGGGAGGATATGTAACACGTGGTCTTCTGAGCCCCCAGGCTGGACCACCTCTTGCGCGGCATCTGGGAGCTCAGAGTTGCGAGAATGTCTTGTGCGAAACAGGCCAGACCACCTTGCGCACGGCATCTCAGAGCTCAGAGTTGCGAGGATGTCTCAGGCGAGACGGGCCGGACCACCTCGCGCAGGGCATCTCAGAGCTCAGAAGTTCGAGGATGTCTCAGGCGAAACGGGCCGGACCACCTCTCGCGCGGCATCTCCGAGGTCAGAGTTTCGAGGATGTCTCAGGCGAAACGGGCCGGACCACCTCGCGCAGGGCATCTCAGAGCTCAGAAGTTTCGAGGATGTCTCAGTTGGCTCCCAGGGTCCCAGGGGGGATATGTAACATGTGGTCTTCTGGGCCCCCAGGCTGGACCACCTCTTGCGCGGCATCTGGGAGCTCAGAGTTGCGAGATGTCTTGTGCGAAACAGGCCAGACCACCTTGCGCACGGCATCTCAGAGCTCAGAGTTGCGAGGATGTCTCAGGCGAGACGGGCCGGACCACCTCGCGCAGTGCATCTCAGAGCTCAGAAGTTCGAGGATGTCTCAGGCGAAACGGGCCGGACCACCTCTCGCGCGGCATCTCCGAGGTCAGAGTTTCGAGGATGTCTCAGGCGAAACGGGCCGGACCACCTCGCGCAAGGCATCGCAGAGCTCAGAGTTTCGAGGATGTCTCAGGCGAAACGGCCCAGACCACCTCTCGCACGGCACCTCGGGGCTCAGAGTTTCGAGGATGTCTCAAGCGAAACGGCCCGGACCACCTCTCGCGCGGCGTCCCGGAGCGCAACTTTTGGAGGATGTCTCAGGCGAAACGGCCAATCCCGGCCAACTCAGAAACGAGAGTTGTGAGGATGTCTGAAGCGAAACGGCCGGACCATCAAATTTTTGTGAGGATGTCTCTGCTCCGACTTCCCTCGGCCGGAGTTAGCTTTTATCACAACAGCACCCCGTTCAGCAAGCTGTTCGGGGGAAACATATTTTTTTTTAACATCCCATGTATTCAAAACTGCCCTGTAGGTTCATCGCCCACCGTTCCTTCATCCAGTCGTTGCGTATCCTTTGGAGCTCGCTTTGGAGGAGATTGTGCTGCCTCGGCGGGCCCTTCGCCTGCTCTCGCTCGTCTTGATCCCCCCCTCTTACCTTGCCCTTCTCGGAGGCAGGGCGCTCTGGTTGGCGGGGGTGTCACAAAGGGACGAACCCAGCCCAGAGGACACGCGGCAGGCAGAACAGCCACATCGGGCAACGGATAAAAGGAGGAGGAGGAGGAGGAGACGGAGAAGGAAAACGTGAAGAGGGGGAAGGGAACGTGATAAGGTGGAGAAAGAAGTGGAAGAGGGTGGAGGAGGAGGAGGAGGAGGAGGAGGAGGAGGAGGAGGAGAGGAGGAGGACGAGGAGAAGAGGAACGGGAGGAGGACGAGGAGAAGGAGCAGCGGGGAGCCGACGATGAGGGAGCAGCAGAGAAGGAGTAGGAGAGGAGGAGGTCGAGGAGGGGAGGTGGAGGAGGAGGGGGGAGGAGGAGGAGGAGGAGGAGGAGGAGGAGGAGGAAGAGGAGGAGGAGGAGGAGGAGGAGGTTGAGGAGGAGGAGGAGGAGGAGGAGGAGGAGGAGGAGGCGACTGCATCCGTCTCCGACTGCGCTCTCCCGACACGTCGTGCGCCGCAAGCAGCCCCTGCCTTGGTTGCTGACGCGTTGCGTCAGAGGGTTCCGAGAGGATTTCCAAGAGGCCAAAATCAGTGATGCTCAATTGGGTGTTCAACGATTTGGGCGTTCTCGCCTTGTCGGGTTTCGGACGCTCCAAGATGGCCCCATGGGCCCCCAAGATAGCCGCAAGGCGGCCCAAGAGGCCCCAGCCCGTCCCGTTTGCATCGTGAATCGTTGCGAACGTACGGTGCTTTGCAGCTCCCTCCCCTCCTCCTCCTCCTCATCCTCTTCCTCCTCCTCCTCCTCTTCCTCCTCCTCCTCTTCCTCCTCTTAATCATAATCTACTTTCTTTACCTTCTCTTCCTCCTCCTCCTCCTCCTCCTCCTTCCCCCCTCATCATCCTCCTCCTCCTCGTCCTCCTCCTCTTCCTCCTCTTCCGCCTCCCTTACCTCTCCTCCTCCTCCTCCTCCTCCTCCTGCTCCTCCTCCTCCTCTTCCTCCTCCTCTTGCTCCGCTTCCTCCTCCTTATTATTCGCCTCCTTCTCATCCTCTTCCTCCTCTTCTTTCTCCTCCTCCTCTTCTTTCTCCTCCGCCTCCTCCTCTTCTCCTCCTCTACCTCCTCCTCCTCCTCCTCCTCCTCCCTCCTCAGCCCCTCCTCCTCATCCTCTCTCATGCTTCCCCTCCTCTCCACCTCCCTCCTCCTCCTCCTCCTCCTCCTCCCCCTCTGTTTCCTCCTCCGGGCCAGGAGGCGGCCTGACCGCACTGGTCACGTCACCGAACAGCCCCAGCTTCCGAAGGGCTTCTCCTTGTGTTCTTCGTGCTCGAGCTCCCCACCCTGGAGCGCTCTTCGCTCGGGGCATCTCCACGTGGCCTTGGCCTCCGGCGACAGGGCTCGTGTGTTCTTGGCACGGTGTAGCGGCCACTCTCGCACGTGTGTGGTTTGGTTCTGCCTCTCTATCGTGGTCGTTGCTCACCCTAGACTCATTTGGTCACCAGCTCTGATGCTCCTCGCCGTCCTCCTCATCCTTTCCCCCTCCCCCCCGTTCTTCGTCTCGTGCTCTGCCCGTTCGGGTCCTCCCCCTCCTCATCTTTCATCTGCCGCCTCCTGCTCATTGTTGTCCTCCTCGTCCGCCTGCTCTTCCCGTCCTCGAGAGGAATGCTTGCCTCCAGTCTCGGCCAAGCCGCTGATGCTGATGTGCGGCCCGCCTCCCATGGTCAAGTTTGCTTGCAGAGAAAACCTAGAGGTGCCGATGCGTGTTTCTCGCGGTCTCCATCACACCCTTCCTTAGACTTGCAAATGCGTGTCGTTCACGTAGTCTTCTGAATCCATCCCCTGTCTTTTGTCCCGATTCCCTCACCAGTCCCCACGCTATAGTTCCCTCCCTCTCTCGTTCTCTCTCTCTCTCTCTCTCGCTCTCTCTCTCTTTCTCTCTCTTTTTCCTTCTTTCCCTCTCTCTCTCTTTCTCTTTGTCTCTCTCTCTCTCTGTCTCTCTCTCTATGTCTATACATATGTTTCATATATATATATGTATATATATATATCATTATCTTCCTCTCTGTCTTTCACGATGCATATATATATATATATATATATATGACAGTATGTACACTGTATCGATATAGCTGTATACATGTATACATCTACCTGGGGTCCAGGACAGGGGGCCCTGCGGGCAAACTCTGGATCTCCATGCCGGTGACAGGGCATCTGGCCCCCTGCAAGACGCGACAGGAGGGGCCCCAAAACCACCGCGATGGCCCAAGAGGGGTCCGACTCGTTGAAGCACCGCTCCAAGACGCACGATCTGGCCCCAAGACGCGCCAAGAGACCGACCAAGACGCCTCCAAAAGCCTTCAAGAGAGCGGCCCGACTGGCCAAAATCATTTTTCGGGGGGCTGCGGGGTTGTTTTGGTGTCTCGCGTTTTCAGGCTTCCGACGAACTAAAACGGACCAGGAGGTCTCCAAGATCCCCCAAGACGGCCCAAGAGACCCCCACCCAAGAGGGCCTCACGATAGCCAAAGAGAGCCCCAAGATGGCCCCAAGAGAGGCCCAAGAGGGGGCACGCGAACCGACAATTCGAGCTTTCCAGCCCAAGAGGCCCCCAGGAGGCCCCAAAAGACCCCCAGGGGAAAGGCCACCAAGACGCCCCAGAAGGGCCTCAAAACGGCGTCTGTTGGAGTGCTCTTGGGCCGTATTGATGTTTTTCTTAGATTGTCTTGGAGGCCTCTCTGGGCCATCTCTGGACCCTTGTCCACGTGTGGGCCCCTAGGGGTTTTGGAGAACCTTCTTGAGATCTGTTCGGATTTTGTTCTGCCGGACCTCGAGGGGCAGTTTGGCCGTCTTGGAGCGTTCCTTCGCCGTTTGGCTCTGCGGAGGCCGTGTTGGACGCATCTCGGGGCCGCCTTGGGACTCTCTCCGGGCCCTCCTCGGCTGTACTGCTGGCTTCTCAGACCGCCTTGGAGGCCTCCTTGGGCCATCCTAGGACTCTCGTCCACGTGTGGACTCCTGGGGGCCGTGGAGCCTTCTTGGGGGCCTCTGGAGATCTCTTGGGAGTTGATTTTCGGACCGGCCCCACAATCTCTTGTGGATGGCCCCAGACTGATTCCAGATAAAATCCCAAGGATGCTCCCCAAGAGCGCCCCGGATGGCCAAAATTGCCGAAATTCTTGTCGTGAAATACGGCCCAGAGGCCGAATGCCCCAAGACGGCCCAATAGAGCCCGAAGACGGTCCAAGAGGCGCCCAAGACGGTCCGAGATGGCCCCAAAGGGGCCCAAGAGGGGGTCGCATTTCGAGCTCAGCAGGGCCGTGAGAGGTCCCCAAGAGGCCCGAGGGAGGCCCCGCGTGGCCCCCGGACAGCCCAAGAGGCCTCAAGAGGCTTCAAAACTGGCTCCGTGAGGGGCCCGAGACGCATGCCACGAGACCCCAGCAGGTGCCCCAGAACCGAGGCACTAGGCAACACGAGCCGAATGTTTCGGGGACTTCCCAAGAGGCCCCCAGAACACTGTCCGAGGCCACGCGTCTACACCCTGAACGATGTTCCAAGAGGCCCAGAAGAGGGCCCCAGGGGGGCCCCTAGAGACCTCAAGAGGCTTGAAAACTCGTTCCACCAAGAGGCTTCCGAGCAGCGCGCCAAGAGACCCAAACAGGTGTCCAAGAAGTCTCTGGCCCACCATCCCGGCACGAGCTGAAGGCTCATGAGGCTTCCAAGAGGTCCCCGCAAGCCTCTCAGAGGCCACGCGTCTACACCTTAAAACGATGTTCCCACAACGGTTTCTGGGGACATCGATTCCGAGCTGGAGGCCTCCCTCAAGACCCTTTGGAGTGTCACAGGGGCCTCATGTACACGTGCTAAACGATATTCCCAGAGAGGCTTCCGAGAACATCGATTCGGACTCGGGACCATCACATCCCCCCTAGGGATGCGAGCCCAGGCGTCGTACGCCTTTTTCGCCGTCGACGCTCCCAAGTCCCGCGTGCTCTGCATGCTGCGATTCGCCGTCGCTGGCGGTTGGTGCCTTCGGGTTAGCGCCATGGGGGGGGATAAGAAATACGAGTGACGGAATGGCTGGGCCTCGCTAGAGCCAAAGCGCGCGCGAAGCGCTTGCGTGGTCGAGAATGTCGACGCTGAGAGCAGAGGCCTCCTCATGCCGCCGAAACTGTTTTTGGCTCCAGAACGTTCCTGCTGGGCGGCACGCTCGCACACGTCCAAGACGACCCCAGGAGTCCCCCCGCGAGGCCGCCGAGGGGTCCCCAAGCCGTCCCCAGATGCCCCCAAGACGCCCCGAAGGCGCAAGCTCATCCTTGGCATCGCTCGGACGTGTGCATTTTTCCTTCGGCGAGGACCATCGAGGAGCATCCTTGATCATCTGGCGAAAAAACCGCGCACGAAACCGAAACAAACACTGGGAATGGACGTCCGAGCGATGGCCAGCATCGATTTTCTTCGGGTGTTCGGAAGTATTCTGGCATTGTGACGCCTTCGGGCCCCCGGCAGCCCAGGACGGCCCCGGGGGCCTTCAGGATAGCCCGAACAGAGAGCCCAAAAGGACGCCTACCACGCCAGCGCCTTTCCAAGACGGAGTGCGTGCGCGTCTGATGGGGCTCGCCTTGCTTCTTCCTTCGGTCGCTCGCATCGGCAAGGGTAGGCCGGGCCCCTGATTCCCGATCGCTGTTTCTCTGGACGGGATACTACAGTGGAGACTCATGCCAACAGACATCCTGTTTGCCGCCAAGGTACCCTGGGTTTCGTGAGTTCCGATGGTTTTGCAATGGAAAGCGTGACGCTCTCACACCAGAAATCAATGGAGGCACGGGGGTCTCAGGAATGGGTTTCTTGTGGGAGGAATCATGTTGTCGAGTTCCTAATACAGGCCATATTCGCAGACCCCTTGATTGTAGTTGTTTCCCATGGTTTTTTGTGTTCGGTGCGTCCGTGAAGTCTTATATGTGTTTTGCGGATGCGACTTAGCTTTTCTTTGGTGGGGCCGTACGAGACGTGCCTGTCGCTTTGTGAACAGAAGGCGGATTTGTCGGAACCGCAGAAGAAGCCACAACGCAGCAGGGACGAGGCTGTGCCGGAGATGCGCGGAGGAGGCGGACAAGTTGACCCGAGAGACAAACAATCTCAACCGGAAAGCAGATGCGGAAACGAAGCAGTTGACGTGCAGTGCGCCAGGTTGCGGAGTGATTTGCGAGACGGGCCATTCGATCCAGAACCAGGTGAAGGATCGTCGGACGGCGAGAGGGACCTGCGGGTGGACTGTAGCGCGGCAGCCCCGCGAAGGCAGCAGCCGATGCGGCATAGCGGCCGGAGCGAGATTCGACGCGCGCGGCGCGCAGCCTGAAGTTTCCGCGGCAGGGCCACATCAGTAGCGCGCAGGAGATGGAACATCTGACGAGGAGAGTGAATGTACTTTGGTTTCGCGGCGCGCAGTTGACAGGCGCATCAGTACAGCGGCGTGCGCGAGAGACCACTTCCGAAATCGGCGTTTTTCGCGAGGCCTGACAATGTCGCGCGCGACGTGAAGAATGGCACCCTGACGTGCAAGGCGCGCAACTGATGCCGATTCGGGCGCCCGTGCCGTCCGTTGCCCTTGGAATTAACACCAGAAAGGGAGAGACGACGAAATCGACGACGAGGAGAGAGCTGAGAAGGAGCAGGCGCAGAAGGAGGAAGCGGGGGGGGAATGGGCGGAGGGGGGAGGAGGAGGAGGAGAAGGAGGAAGAGGAGGAGGAGGAGGAGGAGGAGGAGGAGGAGGAAGAGGAGGAAGAAGAGGAGGAGGAGGAGGGTGAGGAGGAAAAAAAGGAAGAGGAGGAGGGGGAGGAGGAGGAGCAGGAGCAGGACGAGGAATAACAATATGAACAAGAGAAAAGGCTCCTGTCTTGGCGCCTCAAGTGGGGCCTCGGGGGCCGCGGGAGCGATCCCAGCACCGCCGCAACGCATGCGCGCACCCAGGACTTCGAGACCCTGTGCAGGTTCCCTGGTTTCGCGTCACAGTTTCCAGGGGTGCGTCGTGGCGTCTCGTCGGGGCGCTTGCGGGAAACCAGCGCAGCGCGACGGACCCAACATTGATCCTCGTTGGGGTTGTTGTATTTTCCGGGGTTGACATTCGCAGCGTTCGCCGTGCACGCATGATTATCGAATGGCGTGCGGTTTATCCCCCCACAGTGCGTGGCATGCGGGTGCGAGGTTCATTCGGGTGGCTGGTCGGGCCTCGACGGAGGTTTTCCAATATCCTTTTGGAACCAGATGTTGGGTTTCGTGGGGGCGTCTTGGGAGGTTCTCGCAGGCGTTATGAAGTTTTCTTCGGGTTCCCTGGGTGTTCGTTGGTGCCTTCTTGAGGGTTTTTTGGGGCAGCTTGGAGGCGTCCTGGAGCCGAAAGCTGGACATGTCTAGTCGGGTTGCCATTTTCTGGGCCCTCTATTGGCGCGTTCTCCTGGGGCCTTCCTGGGCCGTGCTGTTGTTTTGTTTGGCCGCCTCGGGGCCCCGGTGGGCCGTTGTGGAGCTCTCGTGGGGAGCTTTTTTGGGCCGTTTTGCACGTGGCGGAAGACCGATGGCGGATATGTTTAAAACATACATGGTCCGATTGGAAAATGACAATGTGTGTTTCGTCGGGGCCTTCGCGCGGCCCGTTTAGTTTCGACCGGAAGAGGCGCTCTCTCGACCCGCGACTCAAAAAAGTGTTTCGTCGGCGCCTCTCCGGGGGATCGCTTGGGGGTTCCTGGGGCGTTTTGGGGGCA